CTGGGAGAGATTACCTCCCTTAGTGCTAAACCCACCAAGGAAGCAGGAGTACTTGCTGCTGCATGGCACATTCCTTTTTGTGCTCATGGTTTTTTCCTACTGAAGGAATTACTGACCAGTTTTAGCCTGTGGGAGAAGTTGTGACCCAAGGAGGACCAGTTGCTGATTTAAAAATATTAGAGATAATTCAAAGTTTAAAGCCATTCCAGGAGATGTCACTGTAGCTGGAAGGGAAATACGCTACACAACAGGAGAGGTTTTAAACCAGAGCTCTAGGATAAGTACATTTAATCCTATTTTCCCATCAAATCCATAAAATTGTAAAGGATCTTACATTGCACTTAATTTTACTCTGAGTTGATTTTAAACACCCCTGGGACATAATGCTTTGCGAAGAGTAATTCTGAGATGAGGCAGAGTCATGCTGCCTGGCTGAGCTTCATGCCTACCCGCATGACAAGGGCGAAGCATGAACTTAAGCCCATTGCAGGAATTTACCCATTAAAACTATTTTCATGCTTAAAAATAAATACTTAAACATACTGTTTAAGAGATCAGAAGTTAAATAAGTGAAAACAATAGTCATGGCTTCCAGCGTGCCTTCTTTTAGTTACAGTCCGTTCTGCTTCCACACCCACGAGAGCATCCATCAGCAGAGCTGCTGCCGTGCAGCTCAGGAGGGACTGTCATTCCTCAAGTCTCGGTGCCACTTCACCAGTCCTTGCACCATGCTGTGTACCTTCCTGGTAGCCAGAATTTGCCTCCTCTCTAGCAGTAGCAGCATGGTTTTGCGTATATTTTTTGCTGCCATGGCACACTTGGGGAATATTAGTGCAGAGGCAGAGTGCGCACGCACGGTCTGCAGAGCTGGGACTTGCTGTGTCCTCACCCTGGTGTACCTACCTGGTGCATAGATATGGGGTGGAGAGCGCAGGTTGATATTGCCTTCAACCACAACAGCTAAATCCTCCAGAATTCGTGAGCCAGACCCTCATAAAACCTAACTGGGGAGAAGCAGCAGAAGCTTTTTGGTGGTGCTATCCCATGCTACAGCTTACACAAACTGTTCTTCAGACATCTGAGTCATTCATGTATATTGTACATCTCTTGAATCTAGATGCATTCATTTGCCTAAAATACTTGGACTGGAATTTTTTGG